GGGGTCCGCGCATCCCGGTGCCCCCCACGCCGGCGGAGTGCGCGGGGAGCGTCTGCGGCTCCGGGGTCTGGGGTCCGAGGTCCGGCCATGTCCGCGCCGGGGGCGTCGCCCCGCGCCTGGGGGTGGCTGCTGCTCGGCGGCTGCGTCCTCGCCGGAGCCCAGGTAAGAGCCGCCGCACCTGCCGCCCGGCCCGCCCGACTCGCGACAGGGAGACCGAGACCGGGCGCGGGCGCTTAGGGGAACACATACACCAGCCTGCACGCACTAACACACTAACACCTGCATACAGTCACACACTAACACACAGACACACACTGACATACACTGACACTAAAACACACCAACACACACCAACACACAGACACACTAACACACAGAGACACTCTAACATGCACAAACACACAGTGACACACAGACACACACTAACACACACTGACACAAGAGACACATTAACACACTAACACAGACACACTAACAAACTCGCAGATACACACTAACACACATGCACTAACACACATGCACACAGAGACACACAAACACGTGCGCTAATACACACTAACACACACACCAACACGTACTAACACAGTAACACACATGCACTAACACACACACACACACACACACACGTGCGCCGGGCAGGTTGACAGGCACTTAGGGGCGCTGCAGAGGCAGCTGTGGGCCACAACGTCCCGGGGCGCGCACAGTTGGACCGGCGTCCCGGCCTCTGCAAAGGGGGCGGAATTTGCCAACAGCGGGGTCTGGGGCAGGGCGAGAGGGTGGAGGACCTTTCGTATTCTTAGACTCCTTGGTCCCCGTTTCATTCATCCACATTACTGCGTCTGCTGGCGATGTCCCGCACTTGGAGAAACCTGAACTTCTGGGACGGGCGGTGGCGCTGTCGGGAGGGAGAGCGGCGCCCCGCGCAGAACCGCGGATCCGCACGGCGAGGGCACCGGACGGAGGAGCTCGGCGCGTTCAAGCGCAGTCGCCGATGTTGGGGACAAGCGGGGGCGTCGCTTCCGTGCGGCCGATGTCCTGAGAGGCGTTCGGCGCGGCCTCCCAGGGGGCCCTCTCCGTGCGCGCACAGCCCACCGCGCGTGCTCCTGAGCCAGGTGAACCGCGGGGTTTCGCCCCGCTTCCGAGGCGCTGGACGGAGGCGCTGGTGCGTGTGCCCCGGTCAGAGCCCGGGCGTCGGGGGAGCCGGCGTCCTCCCCGCCCCTGACGGTGGGGGCGCCCTCCACCGCCGAGGAAAGCCCCGTGGGGTGTTTCGGGTTTCTTTTAAATTCTTTCACCGTGAGGAAATCAAGGCGTTGATTTATGTACTGTCTAAACTTAATACTATGCTCTTGGCCTGCAGAGGACCAGTTTAAGTTTCAGTTATTCTAAACGTGCAGTTGTTTTTTAAGCACATAACCACATAAATTAAAGGAAATAGGTGCCCAGCTGGGCACCGGGCTTCACCGAACACAACCAGGACGATTCGCGTAAACTTGCTCGTTAAAAAAAATCAAACGATGACGTTGACTGACAAGATCGGCAGTGGACGCTCACGCCTGAGAGTGTCACCAGGGTGGCGGGAGGACTCTGGTTATAGAGACAGAGCCCTGGCCATCGAACGTTCTCCCTGCGTTTCCATCGCATACGGTGTTTGGAAAATGTTCTTGAAAAGACCACTTCCTTGTATAAGGGGCAGTGAACTCTATTTTATTCAGTGTTCTAGATCATTTCTTCTGAGGAAGTGGGGAGATATTGTTTAGTATGACAAACAATCACTGTGCGGTTATGGGCGGAATATTTCCTTTACTTCAGGTTTCGATAAGACAGTCAGGACACTGAACACTTCTTCTAGAATTTTAAACCAAAGATTCCACTCCTGACGTTTTGGGCCTCGCAGTTCTTTGTGGGGGCCGTCTTGTGCAGTGCAGGGTATTTCTCAGCGTCCCTGCTCTCTTTCTGCTGGACTCCGGCAGCGCCTGCGCCCTCCCTGCGTGACCGCCAGCTACGGGGCGATGTGCCCTGGAGGCGGAACTGCGCCTGGCTGAGACCTGGCTGTGAGCTGACTTCCGTTTACGTTCACAGATGAGGAATTGTGTGAAATGACAGTTTGTGATAATATATGACACTTTTGGCACTTTAAACAAAATCTGAAAGTTAAAGTAGTTTACAATGACATTGACGCCCTCTCTGATCTTCATTCCCAGCTGATAGTATATTTAAAATTTTTTCATGTATCAATAGAAGAATAAAGGGAACTCTTCCAAGCAGAATTAGCTTGTGTAGAATAAATGTTTAGTACTCAGTAAACACTGGGTGACATCGCAAAGCAGATAATGCGGATCAGCGCTCCTCACTTGTCTTGAAGGTCTCTGTGGTCTTGGCGGGTGAGGATGCCGCCGGCGCCTTGGCACACGGTTCAGACCCGGCGTTCACGCCTCAGGTGTCATCGCAGAGCCCAGCAGTAGCTTCCTAAAGTCAGAGTGTCACGTGGTAATAGGGCCACTGTATAAATATGTGTAGTGCCAGTGGGTCCTCCTGGGAACAGACTCTGGGATGGGGTTAGGAGTCCAGTAGGTTTATTGGGGGGTGCCTGTGAAAGGTACAAGGGTGGGGAAGCAGGCCTGGATAGGGAGCGCCTCGGATAGGACTGGATCTGATGAGGTCTGGACAGCCCCACGGGAGCTCTGGGCAGAGACTGCCCTCAGAGGAGGCCCACGTGGTGGTAAACGGCCAGGTCCCAGGCTCCCACTGTGCTCAGTCAGGGACGTGGCTCCAAAGCTGAGACAGATGCCTGAACGCACGGCAGCGCGAGCTGTGGCAGCCACACTCTCGACAGACACACGGCTGGATATTCCTGGAAGGACTGACGCAGGGGAGCCCCTCGCGGCTGCTCCCCTCACAGAATTATCGGGGAACAGGGTGGGCTTTGCTGGGCTTGCGAATGGGCTGACCTCTTGTGATTTGGTCGCCTTCTCCAGGCTCCAGGGGGCAGATCAGCGTGGCCCTCGGACCGTGCGTGTGCAGGGCAGTGGCACATAAGGCCCAGGGAGCACCAGCTGTGAGCAGACGCCAGGACACAGGCTGGATTGCCTGAGTGGAGTCCCAACCCCGCGTGGGCGTTCTGCTGCAGGGAAGGCGCCCTGGCCCAGAGCAGGCAGCTGCACTCAGATTCCTGCTCTGAGAACAGCAGCCTCTTTGGGCCTGAAACTCGATCTGCTGCTCTTTCTGTGTGCTCTGCTGACCTTCCAGTGTGAGATTCAGAGTCCACTGGGAAATCACAAATCTCGTACTGGATGGGGAGAAAATGATAATCAATGATAGCCAAACTGTCTATTATTCTCTCATTTAATTCTCATAGTCACTTTATAGGATAGGCGCTGTAATTGTTCACACTTTGTAAATGAGAAAACGGTGCTAAGAGATGTCAGATAATCTCTCAAGTCACACGGCCAGCAAGCAGAGTAGCTATGATTCACACACTGGCTTCCACTCAGGGACCTGCCCTCAGATTGGTGGCCTCGTGGTGGAGATCCACTGGGCCCTGTTCAGCTGAACTGTGTGTACACACACCCTGTCTCAGCAATGCCCCCCGAGGGCACACATCCCAGGGAGATTCTCACACAAGTCCAGAGTGGATGTTGCAGTCATTCTGTGGTGTTGGAGACTTGGGACAATGTGGGTGTTCATAATGGGGTGTGAGGCATCGATAGAAAGCAGTGGATTCAGTGTACACAAAGCGGCATGAATGGGATCTTTAAAACAGGATAAGAGGTGGCACAGAAATAATGAGATATGCGATACCACGTACATGCATTGAGATACGTGCACGTGAAACAGCAGTACGTGCTGTATAAACATATTCAGATAAAAGACACGTGTGTATTTCACGTGAACGGGAAGGAGAAGTGGGGGTGGGCACAGAGATAAACGGGGTGGATAGTTAGCAAACACACAGAAGAAGCAAACCTGCCGGTGTCTCGGTCTCGTGCTCACTGGCAGTGGTGGTGAGGCCGGAGGAATTCCCAACAAGCCGTTTCGGTGGATTTAAGAATGAGGACCTACCGGGGTCCTGGGCGGCTTCCCGGGGTGCGGGGGGAGGCGAGGGGGCTTCCCTTCGCAGATCAGGCTGGGACTTGACGGCTGGCCATCTGGGTGCTTGTTTCCACAAGCCTGTTGTAGTCGAGGATCCGACGGCGGGTGGTCCTTCTTTCCCGAGGGCAGCCAGGACTGTCCCGTTTGTCCTGTCACAGGGAAGCTTTGTGTGCCTGAGGGGGGCCTCCCGGTCACTGCACTGGCTTGGGTGGTCTCTTCAGCCGGGAGCCCAGACGCGGCAGGACGGAAGGAGCCAGACGTGGCCTCTTCTTGGCGATGCGGAGAGTAGGTCTTGTTTCCTGAGAACTTCTCAATTCTTTGTGAAAAAAATAGAACATTTTCAACTAAGATTCGTCCATCCCGTTTATTTCCTGTTGGTTTTGTCATCTGCTGGAATCCGTCTCCTTTCCATCCCCTCTGCTCAGTTGTTGCCTTTTCTCTGAGTTATTCTTTAAATCTTTTAACGGCAATGTGACTTCAGGCAGCTCATTCCACCTCTTTCAGCCTCCGTTTCCTTCTTCCTAAAATAGGGCAATAATGGCATTTACCTCATAGAGTGTGGAGTAATGCATTTAAAAACGGTCAAACGAAGGCCTTAAGCGTCTGACTGAAAATGTCAGCTCCTCTCTTCTACTCACCTATTAGTAAGGGCTTTTCAATGGAACGATTCTTACATTGAGATTGTTTCTAAACATTATTGGGAGCCACTGAAGGCTTTTGAATGGTGTGTGTGTGTGTGTGTGTGTGTGTGAATTTTGCAAGGCTGTTCTCTTGGCCTGTGACTCTCTTCCTTCTGTTCCTTATGGTTTCTCCTTCAGAGCCCAACCCCATTTTGATAGCAATTGGACATTTTATTCATAGTACTTCACATGTCATAATTTTTCATTTATTAATGAGTACTTGATTAAAGTCTATCTCTCCCTTTGAAGAAATCATTCTGAAGACAGAGAAACTAATCAAAAGGCAATTGCAGCCGTCCTGATTGTCACTAGTGTCACCTTGTGGAAGTGGAGATGCAAGGGGGCAGATGGAATTAGAGAGTTAGAAGGTACGTTCAACTGAAGGAAGAGAGG